GCAGGGGTGTAAAGCTTGCTTAATAACTATTCTCCAACTATTTGGGTTGGTCTAATAAAAGATATCAGATTTACCCAAAGAACCTTGAACCTTGTCTGTTTGCTTGAGTATATAACACACACACACTATGTGTATATGTGTGTGTGTGGATATATATATATGTGTGTGTGTGTGTGTATGTGTATATATGTATGTATGGCATGAGATCTATGCGTCAGCCAGACATATATATATATGCAGGCATGAGATCTATGTGTGTGCATTAATATAATATAAAATAATACATAATATATGTTTGCCTCTGTGTGTGTGTGTGTGTATAATATGTTTGTGTGGGTATATATATGTGTACACATACACAAACCCAGACATAGGCATGGGCAAATTGGGTGACTGCCTGGGGCCTGGACAGAAAGGGGCCTGAAAATGAAAAAAAAAAATTTCAATTGCAAAAAACCCAAAGCTTTACTATTGCACATATACGGCACTGGCCATGTTATCAACTGAGAACGAACTATTTACAGACATTGATACCGCAGATGTGATAAGGACTTTTGCAACAAAAAAATCATTATCGCTAGCGAAGCGGGGGCCGATACTAAAAGTTTGCTTGGGGCCAGGTCCTGGGTGGGGAGCAGCAGAGGGAAGCCCCTTCCAGGGACCACCAGAGCTTCCCCATTGCTTAGCCCAGATCGCCCCCACGTGGCCATTCCACGAACCCCCTTGTCATGCCTTTGCTATTCAAAAATGGGAGTGCTTCTGAGCCTTGCTCTGTAACCTCAAGCTTTTCCTCCCCTTTCCCAACAAGGACTAGGACAAGAAGCTTTCTCTTTCCGGTGCAGTTCTGCTGTAGTGCCTCGTCTCCAGGAGCAGCGAGCTTAGAGGGCACTTGTGCAACGAGTCACCATGGAAAGCGGAATTCAGCATCAAATGCACAAGGTGGTTGTATTAGTGAGCCCTAGATTGATTCTAAATTTAATGCATCATAACTATGGTGCATGAATGTACATGTAGACGCACCCACAGCAAGATCTAGTTTCATTTAAGCCTCACAACAAACAGTCAGCCAGGGAAGTGAGGTCATGGGAGGCTTTAGGCCAACTCATCTATCCAGCTGTTTTGCTCATTTACGGCATGGCATAATGGCAGAGACCTGTCTGACATCAGGCCAGAAGGCCGACCATTCCCTTGGTAGTGCAACTATTTAACCATTTTAGTCTATCAAGCTAAATGTGGGTTAGGAAATGCAAAGAGCCATGTGTTAGGGCAGGGGTGGGCAAAATGCGGCCCAAGGGCCAGATCCAGCCCACTAGGTCATTCTATCCGGCCCATGGGGCTCCTCAAAAATTTAGAAAATTAGTATTTATCTGCCCCTGGCTGCCTGTCATGTGGCCCTCTATGGCTTGCCAAAACTCAGTAAGTGGCCCTCCACCTGAAATAATTGCCTGCCCCTGTGCTAGGGGAACCAGTGCCGTTCTTATATTAACATGAACTGTCTTGAAAAGAAGGAACAAGTCAAGCAGTCCTAAGCCACTATCACCTAGGTCCAGATTTTATGCTTGTGTGAGCTTCAAGAGGAAAATGTGGAGAACTGCTTAGGGAATAAAATAGAGGGAGCACACTGTGCATGGGAGTGATGTCAGTGGGCTCAGTCGGTATTTATGTAGAGGCTAATGAACTGTTGGCAGGAGTCCTGGGAAGGGTGACATATATTCCCTCGATGTGCTACTAGAAATCCAGAAAAGAGTTAATGCAGCCTGTGGGGTGGGTTCTCCAGGACTGCTAGGGAGGGATCTGGTCTCTTATCCAGCTCCTAGGATCAGTGTGGATCTATAGACCTGATTGCCCTGCTCCCACCAGATCTAAAACCTGCTCTTCTCCAAAAGAGCTTCAGTACCCTTGAAACTGAAGCCACTTTTTTCTGAGTTTTCAGCAGAAAAACAAGGGAAGTGAAGGGTGAGGAACATAAACACTACTGCCATTACAGCTCTTTCTTAGAGTCACAGCAGCTTTTCTTAAGCCAGGTGGGGCTTGAACCCACAATCCCTAACTTAAAGGGCTAGTGCCTTAGCTATTAGGCCACTGGGGCCTCCTTTGCCAGAAAAGGGAGCTTTAATGTATTTTATTATAGGCTAGGCCAAGAAATCCTCACTAAATAGCTGCTGCTTGTCTTTGTTATTTTGTTGATAGTAGTCAGTAGGTTGGGCTGGATTTACAATGGGCATACTGGCTCATGACACTCCTTCCTTCTTGTTCATTGTGGTAAGGCCAACTGTAGACACCACTGCTCTAACAATTTTTCATGGTTCATTAATGAGCATCTCAAAGACCTTGTCAGTCTTAGACTGGAAAAAGTACTTATTTCATGCTGTAGCCATTACAGTCGAGGAAACAGGCAAAAGGCAGGGATTTTGGTGAGAGAGCTCTTATTTGACCAACTGCATGGCTGGGATAGACTTACACAAGCTATTGAAATCCCAGCCATTAGTTCAATACAAGATATCGCCCGTAAAAATCCCTGCCTTTCTCCTAGTTACGTCATGACTTCTTGAGCCAATGGCGCTGGAGCTGATGGAAAGCTCTTGACTTTTATATATAAAGCTTTTTGCTTCAAACATTAATGACTTGGGTTTCACAAGACCTCTGTGAGCTAGCTAGGTAGTGCTTTTATTGCAGAGTGGGGGGGAAAGAGGCAAATGACCTCCCTATGACCCAGTATATACCATAGCCCACATGTGCACACATACTTAATGCTATGTCTGTAAGAAGATTAATTGAGGCTGTTTGTGTTCAGGGCACAGAACAGTTAAATATGGAGCTGTGAGTAGTGTGTGGCAGGAGGTTTGGTGCTTCTGCCACATTAAGAGTAGGTAGGTTGGGGCTGAAGGAGCCTGCAGGTGTGGAGTAGTCATCTGACCCAGGAGGAGGGTTGAGTTAAGAGAGGATATAAGCTCAGGTCCTGGAATGACCCAGCAGTAACACCTTGGAGCCTGCTGAGAGAACATCATCTCAGCAGGATGGCTGCAGTTCTCAGCTTGGAGACTAACCCCTAAAGCAGTCTGGGGGTTTTAAGGAGGAACCAAGAGGAGGAGGAGGCTCCTAGAGACCCAGGGAGCAGTCCAGAACCCAGATTGGGGGGCTGAGAGTGTAGGACTAGTGAGGGTCTAGGAACCCCAGAGAAGGGGCTAAGTCAGGGGTGGGCAATTATTTCGGGTGGAGGGCCGCTTACTGAGTTTTGGCAAGTCATCGAGGGCCGCGTGACAGGCAGCCCAGGGCAGATGAATATTAAGTTTCTAAAATTTTTAGGGGCCCCACAGGTTGGATAGAATGGCCTGGTGGGCTGGATCTGGACCCCCAGGCCGCATTTTGCCTGCCCCTGGGCTAAGTGTTAGAGAATATTAAGGAGGATGCCATCTGCAAAGCATGGGGCATGGTGTACAGTTGGAATGGAGCCATGCAATTAGCCCATAAGGCAGTGACCATAGCACCTGGTGGTCATTTAAGACAGCAATTTAGGAAGCCCTGTGGCAGCCTCCCTTATATAAAAGTAAAAAAATCAAAATCAAAATCAAGGCATAGCAGGCAACTGGAGGGTTGGTTGTCCACAAAATGAGGGATGTGGGGACTCCAGGGGCTTCACAACTAGCCCTGGAAGGACACCCTGTTGTCAGTCACCACTCCAAGAAACAAAGCTGCATGTTTTGCAGTCTAAGCAGAGTGAACAAACTATAGGTAAGAAGCAGGCAACTCTTCTTAGCCAGTCGATAGTACTTACTACGATGGAGGCCTTTTTCTTCAGTGTGGGAACTAGGAATGAAAAGGAATGAATTTGGGAAAACCCTAAATGTAAGAGCACCACTTATGAGAAACACTTCCTTTTTTAGAATATTCAAATTATTTGGAGAAGAATCTCTTACTATTGATGGTTAAGCTAGTACCCAAGGACTCCAATCAAGGATCAGATGTACTTATTGCAAGTTTGTGCAGACAATAATCCCTACCTGAGAAATCTATGGTCTAGACAAGGGTTCTCAACCACCATGGGGTGACGTGTGATCCTTTTAAGGGTGACGCAGGGTGTTGTACAATATTAGCATTGTTAAGGGAGCACTTGCATATGATTCGCAAGATAAATCCAGAGATTTCATGTAGGAATCCATAGCATCAAAAACAGTATGACCTATTGTGGGCTTTCTAAATTCTCTGCAACAGAAGAACTGCTTTTATTTTTCCATAGTCAAAGACCAAGTGAAAGCTAAGAGCTGGCATTTTTGGAGGGATCTGTTGAGTCCAGTGATGGGTGCCTTGAGTCTAAAGAGGTTGAAAGCCACTGGCCTAGATACTCCTGCTTCTGATAAACATGCTTACCCTGACAGTTTTATAAATTAACTTTAAAAATATGCAACACTTTATTCATGGATGAGAACTAACCTTGACAGAACTAGATGAGTTAGAACTAGTTAAAAAGATGCACTAAACCCAAAAGAAAAAAAAATTAGAAGCTTTCTTTTTCTGATGCTAATGTTTAAATAACATCTATGAGATTTCTTGGTCCATCATCCATTTATTGTATTGCCCATTTATTGTTGTGCCCATGATAATTCTTCTGAGCAGTTTTTGCTTGTAGGAAAGACAGACTGGAGTGCCAGGTCTGTCTGTATCTTGCTAACGCTTTCTGCTATTTAAGTCTCCAAACCTGTGACTTTTGGTTCAAAGATTGATATTATTACGTGCATCTTCAGTTGCAGAAGCTGTTCTCATATGACCACAGAAGGATTAATGATAGGAGCATGGGGAACTAAAAAAAAAAAAAAAAAGTTATGGTAGATGGTAAAAGCCTAACCATCTACTTTACCCTAAAACTTGGGCAACAGCTTTTTTTGCCAGCTTAAATATTCTTCAGTTATAGCGAAAATTCTGGTTTTACTATGTACAAAAAGCAGATGTTTAAATACTTTATTTACATTTTATTGAGAA